TTTACCAATTGTAATGGGAGGATGCAGAGCAAATAGAAATATAGCAATATGCCCAGGCACAGCAGTGACACAAAGCTTTGATTGTCGGCATAAACACATCAGTACACTTAAAATTGAAGTCAATCAATAAAATCAAACTGATAACGTGCTCAAATTAATTGATTGTGAGGGAAACTTGCGTCCCCCCATCCTTCTCTCAAGAAACATCTGATCTACATGAATTGTTTCCCTCATTTTTGATCATACATGTATAATGAAAACATGTAATAAATGAAAGAATACAGAAAACGTTATATTAAAAACATTTTATAAAAATAACATGAAAATGCAAGTTTACAGTGTCTATAATACAAGCCCAGTTTCACAAACCTTTCTTGAGGAAATTCTTAAATTCATTTTTCTGTAGAAAACATTACTAGAGTCAAGGGAAAGTAATGCTTTCAAATGGAAAATCTTAGTTAAGGGTTCTGAAAAATCAGATTAAGTACAAAGCAAGTTATCATACATTTAGACAGCTATCACAACTGTTGTACAAAACAAGTATCACAAACCAATTTACATTTAAATCTCACAGGGCACAGTAGCACAATTCTCGCCTCTCTTTATTATTACAATAGATATAAATACTACAGGTGACCGAGGGATCAGGTTACAGTCCCCTGTGTCCAATCTAGTGCAGAGAGAAAAGGAAGATGCTCTTTGAAAAATACTTTTAACTTTGAAGAGATGTCTTAAAGATTTTTTTATTGTATTCAATGATTTTAACATGGATATCTAGATAATATATGTGATTCTGTATAAAGTAAACTGTCATCAAATTGTTCAATTTGTATAATTAGTCATAATACATCTAGGACTGTGTAGATATTGTATCATGTACAATGTATTCACAAAAACTGTAATTTCATTCACCCCTGAAATTTCATAATGAACTATTCCAACCTTTGAATTGGAAGATTGCAAATGTGTCTTCAGGGGTGAATGAGTTAAGGAAGCATACACCGTCTTTTTAGGCATATTGCACAAACATCTTGGGCAAGAGAACACTTAAACAAGATTCAAAGGGTTTGACCATGTAGATGACAAACCCTAAATAGGTCCTGAAAACTGCTAGGGCCTGTTCGGTTATGCGGAACAACCGGTTTGACCGTTTATAAATGTAACAATTTCGGGTATAAATCCTGGCGGACCTGCACATGTTTATGCCGGCCTTGCAAGGCTTTGTCAAGGTTCGCCTGAAAGCAGCATCAGATTACTAGGTCCGACCTCATTTAATAAACGAACAACAGTGGTCCGACCGGTTTGACCGTTAAAAACGAAAAAAACACCAAGTCTGCCTTTAGACAGTTCCATGTCAGAAGCCTGCTAGATACTCAACTCATGAAGCCCATTATATTAAACATTATATATCTGTAAAACCATGCGGGGGACCCTTCAGATCAAGACCAGGATGACTCCAAAATAAGTTTGTGGCAAACACATCCATTTGTGACAAGATGTGTTCAGAATCTAACATTGTACATTTTCCTGTAAACACCAACAATAGTGATAAAACGGCTGCTGAAAGTGATTTCATTGGCTGAAAAATGATGTTACAAATATGCAATATGCAAATATATATGTATTTGCCATGTATTTTTTATCAGTAAGGTGCAATATTTAAGAATGAAATTAAGGATGAAAATTATTTCTTTGATTATAGATATTCAAATAGTTCACATAAATAAATTTTCTTTGCAATCTAGCGCCAAAGATACACGAGGTGAATATATTTTCATGTAAAATTGTTACTCAAAAGCTAGACAATTTTGTCAGTAAATAAATTTGATATATCAAAAATGTGATAAAACCATTTCATACACATATAGTTAAACATGAACAAAACTCCTAACATACAATAGAAATATGTATTTCAAAATTCCCTGAAAACAAAACATGAATTTTGGCATTGGACATTTTATGAACAAAACCAATTGATTTGAACTTGATCTCATATACATGCTATCAGAAACAAAGTAATATCCTGTGATTCAAGCTCGCTATTGAATCACCTACTTTTATCTGTAGTTAACTCATTCACTCCTGAAATTTCATAATGAACTTTTCCAACCTTTGAATTGGAAGAGTTCAAATGTGTCTTCAGGGGTGAATGGGTTAAACCAAAAAGAAAGTTAATCAATACTTTTATTTAATGGTAAATATTTAATAGGGACTAACATATGTAATACTTATTTAATTGACTTAAATGATAGGGTTATCCAATGTATGTAATATATGACCATAATAAATAAGAATGATAATCCAATGAAGTCGTTACAAAGCATATTTCAGCATTTTCAGTTCATTTCACATTTATCATACATATATATGAATGAAGTTAGAAGAAAAACCTAGGTACTATAAAATAAACATCAAATGACACAAAAGAGAGAAAAGAGAGAAAAACAAAACATTTGGTATAATTACCAAAACTGATTTAAATATTAATGAAATTATAATACTTGAAATTTCTGGCCATAAAATCGAGAGTAATTTTGTCATATCTCCTACTATGAATCTATAAAGAAGTAGAATAATTCTTTAAGTTTGCATGTGCTGGAAAATCACTTTGGTATTTGATATAAAGGTCCAAGCAAGTTCCCATGAAAATATATTTTAACGAATCATCCACATAATTATACTGTATTAAAGATGAGATGTATTTAATACCTAAAATATACTGTCAACACACATAACAGGTTTATTGCATCTAGTTGTTGGATTAAAGCTGTCTTTATGGGTATCAAAATGAAGCCCTATATTTTACAATACAATTCATGGCAACACTACCTTAAAGTCATACATTGTATACAGGTACCTGTATATGCACCAAGTGTACATTACAATTGAATATTGTGTATATCCATCAAAATATAGCATCACATCGTCACAAAGAGCCAGTATAGTCTTATACAAGTTATATAATTAAGAGGGATTTAATGTTGTTTTCAATTTTGAAATATCTTCAGTCAGTGGCTGATGCACAACTCTATACAAACATGTATGTACCTGTATATACATGATTAATACATTTTACAGTAGCAAACAAAAACATGGTGAACTTCAACATCACACTTTGTATAAAGACATAATGTTTGTAATGTTTCTCCATGTAAAATACATTGTATTACCTTATTTACTGGTGATAAGCCCATGCCCGGTAATAAGCCCACCCCCTATTTTTCTTTACTTTCCATACATAGGGTGGGGCCTGGTAATAAGCCCACCCCCTATTTTTCTTTACTTTCCATACATAGGGTGGGGCCTAGTATTAATAAGCTCATCCCTTTGTTAGAAAACTGTCCCAGGTGAAAACTCTGTTGTTTTTTTGTTCAGTTGAAAGTGCCAAGTGATAAAAGAAAGGTGCCAAGTCTTAAATCTAATATCTACTGCAACTTCACAAACTCCCTGGGCTTAACACTGGTAAAAAATGTAGTACACTGTTCTTTCAAGAGTAGGTGTGGTGAGGGTACATGACGTCACGGAAGTGTGATCTAGAGAACACTCCCCAGTTAAGTATACTATAGGTGTGGCGACGGTACATGACATCACCGAAGTGTGATCTAGAGAACACTCCCCAGTTAAGTATACTATAGGTGTGGGGAGGGTACATGACGTCACAGAAGTGTGATCTAGAGAACACTACCCAGTTAAGTATACTATAGGTGTGGTGAGGGTACATGACGTCCCAGAAGTGTGATCTAGAGAACACTCCCCAGTTAAGTAAACTATTGGTGTGGTGAGGGTACACGACGTCACGGAAGTGTGATCTAGAGAACACTCCCCAGTTAAGTATACTATTGGTGTGGTGAGGGTACATGACGTCACAGAAGTGTGATCTACAGAACACTCCTCAGTTAAGTATACTATTGGTGTGGTGAGGGTACATGACGTCACATAAGTGTGATCTAGAGAACACTCCCCAGTTAAGCATACTATCGGTGTGGTGAGGTTACACGACGTCACAGAAGTGTGATCTAGAGACCACTCCCCAGTTAAGTATACTATAGGTGTGGTGAGGGTACACGATGTCACAGAAGTGTGATCTAGAGAACACTCCCCAGTTAAGTATACTATAGGTGTGGTGAGGGTACATGACGTCACAGAAGTGTGATCTA